TGTCATTCAGCCTTTATTCAAAGCATAAATCTGGGGAAATGTACAAGGTATACGCACAATAAAGCTCACCGCGTTCTAAAGGAGAAAATATGTTTCGGCGATGTATGTTTCCTGAAATGAACATTTCTGTCACGATAGGTATTGTAAGATAACAGCTATAGATAAAGTAGCTAAAACAATAGATGGGATCTCTTATTCTTTTGGGAAAAACCTCTCATTGCTTTTCAATGGCATCATCTTGTCGCCATCCACAGCTTCTTCTGCATGTTGATGATATTGCCCTTCCTGTTTCCAGAAGACTATGTAACGCTCTAGAATGGAAGTTCATTCACTATGAAATAGTTCCTATCACTGTTAAAAACAATGCATGTCATAAATACAAAGTTTGCAACTAAATTGAACTTACATGCTGTAAAACACTGTATTTCACAAACAGTAATGAGATTTTAAACAAGGATATTATAAATCTCACAGAGGAAATTTAATATAATCAAAACTTTTATATGCGGTACTTCAGAAATAAAACATTCCACAACATCCATTAAAGATATAATGATAACCAAAAACTTTTTTCCAAAATGAAATTGATGATCTGCTGATGTGGTGACAGTTTGAATACTGATTAATCGCTTAAAAGATGTAAATGTTTTTTTCTATATAGTTAGGCAAAAATGGTAGGAACTGTTGCATCAGTACTTAATCGGTGAGCAAAATTAGGAAAGTTCCTTTCTGGTTTGTTCCAAACATGGAATGGACCTTTCATTTCAAGGAAAACATGAAAATAAGGTATGCTTAAAAAAATGTTTCAAATGTGAATGTTTGAGATAGTTTTTTTTTCAAATACGGCTGGTCTCAAAAACATGCTTGATACATAGAAACAGACTAATTACCAACTCCATGATTAGAGTTTAGGTCTTTCCCTTACTAAGAGTTGCTCTGTGATTGGTCCTTAATAGTTTCTCTTAAGTTCAGACTTTTGCAGCAGTCATTTTAGGCTAACTTATTGGCTCTCTGAGAGGGTTCTTAGAAGGTTGGTGGGCTCAGGCCCAGAATTCCATGGTCACCATGGTTCCTCCTCAGGTGCAGCATCATTTAGAAATAAACATTTAAAATAATTTGGAAATAAACAAAAACACAAGCTGTCCACAGACTGCTTTTCACCTGGATTTCCATCACCACCTCTGGAAAATCATCACTTCTGCCGAAGAAATATTACATCCTAGAAGAAATTTAAAGACTCCCAGAGACTGACAACAGTGGAACAACTTAGTTACAAAATGGAAAATAACAGGTTTGAGCATTTTAAATGGCTGTACTCTTCATGATGTGTTTCACTAAGCATAACAGACATCATCTGTCTCTCATGTTCAGACCATCAAAATCTGTTCAAATGAACTTTTCATAAGCCATAGTTCTTATACTACAGGAAATAAAGTGAAGTCAGTTTTAAACTAATCTTACAAAAAGATAAGTGATGCATCTTAGCATGTGTTTTTTATGTAAGAAAAGCCAGTGAAGCTAACATGTTAGCATATGGAAAAAGCCAAAAAGGCTTGAACATCAAATTATAATTTCTAAAATTGGTTCAAACTTCTACCATCAGAAATCAGAAATCAGAAATCAGAAATACTTTAATAATCCCAGAGGGAAATTATTTTTGTTACAGGCTCCATAAGCAAAATAAAACAAAGGCATATACATATGTACATGTCTATACATATATACATATATATATACAAAATTCCTCATAAATATAGCTAGATATATACAAAATGAGAGGTGGATAGTGTCAATGATTAATATTGACTCTCAGAGGGAAGCGTTGTACAGATTGATGACCACCGGCAAGAAGGATTTCCGGTGGCGCTCTGTGGTGCATTTGGGTGAGAGGAGTTTTCTGCTGAAGGAGCTCCTCTGTTGGGCCAGTGTGTCGTAGAGGGGGTGAGACACATTGTCCATGATGGACTTAAGCCTGGACAGCATCCTCCTCTCTGCCACGGTCGACAGAGTGTCCAGCTCCTCCCCTACAACATCACCCGCCTTCTTGATCAGTTTATTTAGTCTGTTGCTGTCTGCGATCCTCAGCCCACTGCCCCAGCATGTGACAGCAAAGAAGATCGCACTGGCCACAACAGACTCATAAAACATCCTCAGCATCGTCTGACAGATGTTAAACGACCTCAGCCTCCTCAGGAAGAAGAGTCGGCTTTGGCCCTTTTTGTAGACTGCCTCGGTGTTTCTTGTCCAGTCCAGTTTATTATTTAAGTACACCCCCAGGTACTTATACTCCTCTACAGTGTCTACAGGGACCCCCTGGATGGAAACAGGGGTCACAGGTGTTTTGGCCCTCCTCAGATCCACTATCAGCTCCTTTGTCTTTGTCACATTGAGCTGCAGATGGTTAAGTTTACTCCAAGTGACAAAGTTGTCCACCACAGTCCTATATTCACCTTCATCTCCCCTTTCAATGCAGCCAACTATTGCTGAGTCATCAGAGAATTTCTGAAGATGCCATGAAAGAATGTCAAAGATTTCAACTGTAAGATGTTAAATTATCTACACAGAATATCCAGAAAGTCAAGAAAATGAATGATGACTGATCAGTATTTGTAATGGTTATGTGTTCTTATCTTGTAATTTCATTTCATATCAGTTCACAAACATCGTTCTATCCAAAAAAAGGTACTTTCAACCAATCAAAAGAAACAACAGTGCACCCGCCAACTCACGTTCATTTTATGACTCCTTGCAAGTAGGTTTTAGACACATTTTCAACCCAAAAACATGTATGGCCTGAGACCAAACAGGAAGATAACAAATTTGATCTTAACGTGTTGTGTTTACATGCTGACCAGGACAGAAGGGGTTCCATATTTCTGTCTTTTTTTTAAGGTTATGGTAAAAACGGCCTATCATTTTAAGGAAAAAATTAAAGTAAGGTATGTTTAAAAAAATGTTTCAAATGTGACTGTTTAAGTGTGTTTATTTTCAAATACGGCTGGTCTCAAAAACATGCTTGATACATAGAAACAGACTAATTACCGACTCCATGATGAGAGTTTAGGTCTTCTCCTTACTAAGAGTTGCTCTGTGATTGGTCCTCAATAGTTTATCTTAAGTTCAGACTCCTTGCCGCTGTCATTTTAGGCTAACTTATTGGCTCTCTGAGAGGGTTCTGAAAAGCTTGGTGGATTGAGTCCCAGAATTCCATGGTCGCCATGGTTACTCCTCAGGTGCAGCATCATTTAGAAATAAACAAAAACACAAGCTGTCCACCCCTTTTCACCTGGATTTGCATCACCAGTTTTTCATCCAAAAAGCACTTTTATGGTCTGAGCCCAAACAGGAAGATAACAAATTTGAACCTAATGGGTTATGTTTATACACTGACCAGGACAATCGAGACTTTTTCTGTATTTTTGGACAGATTATGGTAAAATAGGCCTATTTTTCAAAGAAAAAAAATTAAAACAAAGCATGCTTAAAAAGGTTTCAAATGTGAATGTTTGAATGTTTTTTCAACAGGTACTGGTTTCCTCTACTACTCATTTTATGGTGCAGAGTGAACTGCCCCATGACCACCTGTGATGTGACCTGTTTTTTCCCCCTATTTTCTTTTAAGCAGTAGTAATAAAACACTGACACATTTCCTCTCTTCTAAAGGTCACTGGCAGAGGACAAAAAAGTGTGAACATCACAGGCATGCTTCACTCTTGTGAGAATCCACATAAAGCCAGAAGCTTACAACATATTCGTTCTTACACTGGTTGCTTGAATTGCGTGTTTGATCAATGAATTTGATTTGTCAGATCAGAAGAAAAATACATGGCTGAGACACAGACAGTTGTAATTAATACTGTTTCCTTGGCCTGATTAGGTAATGTTGAGTGTTTTCAATACACACATTCTGGTTGATGAACTTAACTGACTAAAAATGGTTTCAAATTGAAAAACTAGGGGAAAAGTAATACGTTTCTCATTAGAATTCAAATGAAAAACGCACTGGAATGGACACAGGTAAGCTAATGAGGACAGAACCAGGTGAAGGGACACTGAGGACCTCTGGTGGGTTGAACGAGTGACACTTGGAACAGCCAGAACAGAAAAGCTTGTGGAAAATCTTAATATACAATACCTATCACTTATCACTATAATGCCAACGCTGTTTGATCCTATCAGACACCACCACTGGGAAAACCTGCAGAGCCTGATGACCTCTACCTAATTTTGTGTAGTTAAAAGAAATTGAAGTTACTGTTGATCGTGTTTTTGTTGATATATGTAGTACACATTACAAAATTCAGCTATTCTTCTGTTTGTGTCCCGAACGCTGTTGTTGTTTTCCCCCTTTTAAATCACATTAACTATAATTTTCCTGTGACAAAAACAATGATACAGAGATAAAGGTACAAAGATGGGTGTAAATAAAATAAAGCTGACATGCAGTAATTCAGTTCTTACTATTGTCTGGGAAAATGGGTCTTGAATATTTAGGATTGTACAGAATAGACAGTTATGATCCCTTCTAGAGACACACACTATCCTAAAAGGATTTCACCTGGTTCAGGTTTACATAGTCTTGTTCATAGGGAATTGTTTAATGGGGATCAAATGCCATTTCTTTCTCATCCAAACAGAAATTACTATTTAGAAATCTGTTCATTCCCAGATCAAATGGCCCATTCCCTTCCGTTTTTTAAAAGAAATCCATCACATTTTGTCTCTAAATGTGAAAAAAGCCAAACCTTTGGTACAAATTGACACGATGGAGATTACTGAATGAATAAAGCAATGACAATAGGGTTAAAATTTACGAATGATTTATTTTATAAAAGTGCAGAACATTATAAATAGAGGTTATAAATAAGAAGCGGATGTACAAATACGCTAGCCAAACATGAGCTAAAGAAGAAAAGAAAAAAATCTGATTGCCTATTTTTCCAAAATCAAAGCCTAAAGTCCAGGCAACTAATACATATGATTTTTTTTTTTAATAGTCTTTAGTCAATTGTTTTCACAGAGTGATCAGCAGAAAGCAGTTTTCTTCCCAGCGGAGGAGCCTCCAAACCTTCACCTCCCAGCCAGTCCTCATTTAGCTCCCCCAGGATCTCCTGCAGGGACAGGACGGGCAGGGGGCCGTGCTGGACCAGCTCCGGGCAGTCGTCCGTGGCGGCCCCGCTCCACGAATCGTCCATCTGTACGAACTGACCCTCCGCTGGCGGGCTGTTCTCCAGGCTCACGTCCCAGTATCCCGAATCGGGCGTGTCTGGGGTGGATGTTGAGGAAGGCATGAAGATCTGCTGCTCTGCAGACCCCGGATACATGAAGGATGTCTGCTCATAGTTTGGGTTATAGCCCCCCAGGGGGGAATTGCACCACAGAGGTGGCACCGGGGAGGTCTGGCTGCCCGGTTGGGGCCAGTAACCCCTGAGGGGTGGACTGGCCGAGCTTCCCAGTGGTCGTCCACGTTGGAGTCCATACACAGAGCTGTACGGTCCACTCTCCTCGGAGGTGGAGTAGGCGGGGGGACGCTGCTCGTAGTAGCTCCCTTCCTCCCTTTCCTGCTTCACCTGAGCTGGGTAGGCCGGCGGGGGTCCTTGAGGTCGCACCGGGACGCCGAGCGGCCCCCTGTTGGCGACGGCGTGGGGTGGGGGGAAAACGTCGTGGCCGTCCGACTGCCACAGGGCTTTCTTGGCTCCCCGGCACTTCAGGGTGCGAGCTCTTCGGTTCTGAAACCAAACCTGGGGGAAAGGGGTTTAAAGAAAAGAGTTTAGATTGAAGTCGGCGCTGATAAAACGGCACGTTCTGTTAATCATTGTTCATCAGTGGCCCAACAGACACTATGGAGTGGGCGGCAAGAGCAGCTGTAGTGGTAGATTCCAATATTTAAGAAAAAAGAGCATGTCTTTTAAGATAACGGAATGATACAGGGATAACAGTATCTAGAGCTGTGCATGGAATTAATTTGAAAACAAAGTTTACTTTCCCCAAAAATGGCAAAAATAACCTTACAACACAACTATATTGTGTATCTTGATGTATTAATCCTTCATGTGTATATTGGATATATAATGGATATAAAGGATATATTACGCAAATGGATACGCAAAATCCAAATTTGAACAGATGTTCACATTACAATTCCACAGATTTTAAAGCACTTGCGTTGAGTTTTCCTTGTGACCACTTCTATGACAAATAGCTTCACTAACTGTACCTGGATGCGCGACTCTGGAAGGCCTGTGGTCTGGGACAGGCTCTCCCTGAGGCTGATGCCAGGGTAGGGGTCGGTCTCGAAGGTGGCGCGCAGGAGCTCCACGTGCTCTTTGGAGAAGCTGGTCCTCTTCCTCCGGCTGGCACTGCGGGAGGAGCTGCCAGACCTGGAGTCTTCTGAGGGGCAGAGGGGAGAGCAGGGGTCTGCATCAGACGGGATCCTCAACCTTAATTTTCTGGACTTTTCATAACTTTGTTGCCACGTCCAAGCTAAAGCAGAAGCCGTTTGGTGTGTACACAGCCGTAACTAAACAGGAGATGCCACTTATCCAATTTGCAGTGGAAGAATGTGTTTTTTTTCTCTTTGTGTGGTTTTGACACTGTACTATCTCAACAAGCAAACACGGTAAATGAAGATAGGGCTCTCACGCTGCTGATTATCTGTGAGAACAAAGTGCTGATTATTACAAAGGTGCAGTGAAATGTAAATGGTAAATTTGAGGAATTTACTTCTTTATTCTGCCACCATTACTTTGTCTATTGTTGAACTAAATCCAGTTGGGTTTTTTTGTCCATTAAAAGGTATGTCTGCGTTCCATTGATGCTTGAATACTGTCCGCTCAGAAGATCAGAAGTTGAAGTTTTTTTCAAGTTATTTCATCTTTGCTGGCACTATTCCATCCTAATCTAACTTCCTAATGTAATGCCCATACAAAAATACAGCTGCAGATTTCAATTGGAAGAAGAAAACTGGATTTAAAAAAAAGAACGGTTGTTTTCCACTAGCAAAGTAAAGCAAAGCAAGCAAAGTCCCTAATTTTTGTAAATGTATCTAAATCATCATGCAAATCTTACCATTGCTGGAGTCCTTCCACATGGCGGCAGTTCAGTGACCGGATCTCTGGACACGAATGGTCGGGAGTGTGTTCAGTGTGGCAGCTTGCTTACCTTCCTGTGAGTGTCTCAGTGTCTGTGTGCACCAGAAGAGTACCTTTTATAATGATCACCTGCGACCCCCTGAAGGATCCATCGGGGCCAGAACAGAGCAGCGGGGTGGGGTGTTGTTTTACTTTGAGGATGGATGGCCAAAGGAGTACTCTGACCCCAACAGCATCCCCCACTCCTCTGCCTCACATTATCACCTACTCCGTTTTAAGAGTGGCAAGGTCAATGGCGAATATGACGATTCATTACATGATGATTTGGGGCAGAAGACAAAAGGCAGCCTGGCTGGGATTAATGGCCTCGTCGATACCACTTTGCACTTATTCATAAGACATTTAACTCTCGAGGCAAAGTTAGGATATTAAGATATTTGCCTCTGCATTATTTATTTGGTTCCTAATACTCTTTTATGTTACTTATGGTAAATGGAGTTTGCATTTGTACTTTAGTTTTAATCTTAACATTGATGTACGCTGTTGTATTGCATTTTGATAGATACATGTTCAGGATTCATATGTCTGCAGAAGTAACATAAGTGTGTGATAATTCATATTTCTTAACTCTTTATCCTCTGTCAGTGGCACACATAGGCAAATCTGACAAGTGTTTAGCATTGATCAGCCGGCAATTGTCTAAAAGAAATATTTAACTTACAGACCTTGGCTAACAGCTAATGGTTTGAGCTGAAGCCTATCAGAGGCTTTCATATGCAGAGCGGCTTCCTTCAGTCACATGGGAGAAAACAAAGGGGGCTTATGCAGTGATTAATAGGACATTTAGCCGTTGCCACACGGCAAACTCATTTCTGTCAAAGGATGTTTCAAAAATTGAGTGGCACACTTGGTCTAACATGCCCAGGCCTTTTTCTTCCGTTACATTTCCACTTTTTCCTTCTGTTGGTTTGCCCTTTGACCCATCTCCTGTGGGTTGCATTAATAATTTGTGAAAATCAGATGAACATAAAAAGCACTGACAGTGTAAACACTGCCATTCAATGGTGAGCAAAGTGCAGCAACTGGTTTACAGTTTTTTTTCTCTCCAAAGGCGTATTAGAACACAATGCAGCTTGAAGTCCGTAGTTATCTGATGTGAACACAACAAGCCTCTTGTGTTTATCTTTATCTGGACAAGAGGCAGAATCAATGTCCCTGTGTGTGGACACGGCTCCCGAAAGTCCCAGAAGCTCCCTCCCTGCGCTTTATTGAAATCCTATCAAAGATCTGTGGGGCTTTCCCAACTGCTGGAAGCTTTTAAACTTTCATTAGTATTTACTATTGATTTTGATTAATATCGCATCCCACATAAAAAACAAAACCGATATGAATAATTAACGATTCGTTTGGAGAAATAATAAAAAGGTAAAGAACGCCTTTAGTACACTATCTCATCAGATTACTTGTTTTGACCAAGTTTACATACAATGAACAAGTGATTAAAGATAACTAAACACAGTTTCAGCCAGTAGGCTATCCTGCTAATGCAAAATCACTATGGAGGAGTCTTTTTTAGTTCAATCTTGCTACCACAGAGATCTGTGTATTTGCCTTAAAAAGGCATCTGATCAGCTTATCTCTTCCTGTAAACTATAATCCTCCAGTGAGGAAAACAGTGATGCTGCAAGTTTAGGTGTCTGTGTGTGTGGGGGGGGGGGGGGTATTGCGGCAGACCTGCAGCCAGAAACAAGATGGATGGTGGAATCATCAATGTCAGCGGTTTTTACCCCTGAATAAGTTAATATAGTAATGTTTTTAAAACATCATAAAAGTATGTAAGTGACAAAAAAAAAAACAATAAATTTTGCTACTTTCTTAAAACTTTGGAATTGAGATCTTACTTTAGCCAACAGTGAGACGTTTGGTCGAAGATCAATGCAAATATCACATTAATCCTTCAGATTTTTACAACAAGATTTGGAATCACAGAGCTATTAAAAAATACACTCAGGTAAAATAAAAATACATAATCAGAATCATGAAATTAATAATAATATGTTTAAATTGAAGAATTATCTCAATAGCCATACTAGAATATAGAAAAGTGTAACAGCTTTAACTTTAAAAAAAATATTTTACAAAATGGCTCCAGTATTATCTACTAACAATTTACATGAATAATTGTCAACTTTATAATGATAATATCAAGTCTATCTAATAAAACACTCATGGAAAAGTTCCGATCTTTTTTATTGATTTATTTCCCCTTCACATCACACTCGATCCCACACGGGGGCAACAGTGCAAATGCAGATCTACCTTCTGCCTCAAAGTAAAAAAAAACAACCTCACTGAATATTTTAAAAATCCCTGTGTCAGAATACCACTCATGTTGACATAGCGCAGTGTATTATTGTATGTTAAAACTACTTGTCCATTTGCGTAATAATCTCTACTAAGTAGAAAAAAATACCAGCATTCTACTAACGCCCTCTCCCGGCCCCCTTGCCTTCTTTTTATTCCTCTCACGGTTGTTATTACACGGTCATATTTGACAGCGGGACCAACGTGTTAGGACAGCGACAATGGCGAAAAGTAATGGAAGCGATTATTTTAAAAGGACCAGCCTCTTTTGGATTGTCACTGTTACACTAATGGTTGGATATTATACTGTAAGTTTATTCAATTGGTTTCAATTACGATTGAATAGAAATAGGGTAGCTGTCTCATATTTGTAAACGTCACCGTTCTGTGTAGCGTAAAACATCGTCCGGGTCTTTTGAATTTTGAAAACGTTCACACACCAAATGCCGTGGTTAACTTTCGAATGAAGTAAATTTCTCTCTGTTGCCATTTATCGTGTCGTATTTTGTGAAAATGCTGTCGTCGCTGTCGCAGCCATTTTCTCACTGATAGCTAATCTTATCGGCATTCATTAAGTCATCAGTTCGAAAACATGCTAAACAAACTTTGGTACAAAGTCCATGGTTTATTCTTATACAACTTCGTGGTCAATTGAACGTAGCAACATCTGAAAAGGCATAATACGTCTAACAGTTACGTGACTAAAGTGCGGCAACGTAATGTTACCCCATTCTCTGCGGGTATCCTCATTAAAAAGAGAACAGTTAAAGCAACATGGTAACTAGTAAATATTGAAGGCAGTTAAATTTGCAAATATAAAAATATACAGTATACTGCTCTGACCAGCAACTCATTTACCCAAAAAAATGTCAAGAGTAGATATCTGGGACAAATGAGTAGTCCTCTAAATATAAATGTGTTATGGTTGTAAAGTTAAAACGTGTAGTTTATCTCAAATCAGACAGTGCAGCGTTTTGCTGTGTGCTTCACTGACCAAACGATAAGCGGACGTAACCCACCCGGGCCCTCCAACCAAAGTCCTATTGTTTTGTTTTGTTTTTCTTTATTTTTTTCCAGTTCTGTCACGTTATTCTTACAACCGTGACAACTACCTGGTGAACACAGCAGATAAACGCAACCCCAAGACACATTTTAGATCAATAACAACAAGATTTGAAACAATTTTTTAAAATCATTTTAGGTACTGAATGAATGCCAGTGTACAAATGCAACTTAGGGAAAACGCCCTAACTGACTTATCAACCTGTTGAAATAGCAACGAAAGGCATATTTCCCAAAGTTTAGGAAAGAAACAGCTAAACCGAGGTGGTAACTCAGACCGTGCTCCCTCAGACCAATCAAACGCCTCCATCCTTTCCGTCTCATGTGACCACTTTTTCGATGACAACCAGATATGCTGCCTGACCGATTCATTTCAGGTTCCGCTGGATCACGGCATCCCTCACAAGGCTGCGCTTTGTGGTGCATGCAGATGCTTCAGTCACGCTGCACGGCCACAGTCTGAACGCAGAAAGCAGTCTGCCAGAGAGGAACCTGTGGGAGAATCTCATGAACCAGTGCATTTCCCCGTATCGCCTAAAACCTCCACGTTGTGGACTTTTCCATGCAGGGGTCCAGCTTCTTTAGTTCCAGCACTAAAAGCCCTTAAAAGTTTAACACGTGTATGTATGATGTGTGTTTGGAATGGGTTAAAGTAAAATCACCCGGTTGCTGTTTTTCGCAGTGCATCGTGTTTTCACCAGAAAAAATCCCGTTTGAGTTCCTTGGTGGCTTTGGCACCTTCTGCCAGTACCTTGTGGACAACCACGCGGGCCTGATGCACAAAGGGTAAGTGTTTATCAAAAAAGAGGTTGGAAACCTTTTAAATTCTGTTTTTTTTTTTTTTGTCATAGCAATATAAACACTTTTATCAAGATATCAGCAACAAAGCTGCCCTCACATATTCCATTTAAGAGTTTTAGACTTGAATTTAGCCTAAATTAAATGCAAAGCAGTGTGAAACCTTAGCTCTAAATGAGGTGCTAAGCACCCGCACAGGCCCTGAATGCAGCGTTTAATCAACAAGGGCCTTAAGGGTTTTTCTCTCTGACAGATCGTTACCACCATCTCCAGGAGTCATTAGTATTATTTAGTCCTTAAAGTCACATGACTCTATAACATAAAATCAGCAATCAAGGATCCTTCATTTGTTTCTTTTCAGCCATGTGACTTACACCATAGTTTTTAAGAGGACCGTTTTAGGCCATTGTTCAGTCTTTGGTATTTCATCATTTTGTGGTTAGTTTGTGTCTTTTTAAAAGACACCAGTCACGTGACTCCAAAAATGTAGCAGGAGTAGGTGGGTGTTGCTTACTTTAAAGCCCCGGTCCAACACATTGGAATGTTGTGTTTAATATTGATGAGGATAGGGGGTCAGTATTTTTTAGATCGAATAAACCAATTTATTTAAAGACGATCATAGCTCATCTCACGTCAGATGGGCATCATGCTTCCTGTTGTCATGTTTACCCCAACGTTGCAAGACCATTTTGTATTAAAACAGTCTGTAGATATCAGAGAAGACCAGTAACTGAACTTTTAAGAGGAGGAATGTTGTCCCATTCCTGACTGAAAAAGAATTCTAGCTTCTTAACAGTCCTGGTCTGTTTTCTTTAGATTTTATTTCACTATTGACCACAGGTTTTCAACAGGGGAAAGTTCTGCACGTGGACCCTATGAACCCCATGCTGTTGTAATAGATAAAGTGTGAGGTTTAGCATTGTCTTGCTGATATATGGAAAGCTTTCCCTGTTTAAGATGTTATAGGATGGGAGTATGTTGGTCTAAAAGCAGTTAAAACCATGGATTTAGTGGTTACTTTCCACATGTGATGCAGACTTTTCAACTGAGAGTAAAAAAAAAAAAGAAAAGCTGGATTGGTTTCTTAAGTCTTAGTTCTGGAAGATGTGGCATCTGTAAGTTATAGAAATAATTTCAAATTTGAATTTCCAGTGATTTGAAAATCACTGGAATCCGATTCATTTTTTGCTCATGTCCTCTCTTAAATGTGGTTTATACCACATGTATGATATTAAAATATTTTCAATCTTAGTTTGAGAAAGATTGTCGAAATTTTTTTGGGCAGATTGCAGAACCTTGACTTCTTTTGGGATCATAGCTTTTCCAGCTTTAAAAAAAAAATGTAATTAAAACACAGGCTCACTTTCAACATTTAATGTCTTTTCTTTTTTCTGGGTTAAAGCTGAAATATCTCGTTATTTTTTTTAGAAACAACTGTAAATCTGTCCCAACATCTTTGGAATTGTTGGAATTTTTTTTTTTTTTAATGAAATCAGTCGTACAAGTGTCTCTTACGTTAAAGACAATTACATGAATTGTTTCTTAAAGGTGGCCTCACATTAAAATGTGTTTTTTAAAAATGTATTATTCTTTTTTTCTACAGATGGTGGGCAGCATTTGCCATTCACGTTTTTGAGTCCTTAGTTGCGTTAAAGGTGTGCAGGTAAGGATGATGAGAAACATCCACAGGGTGGTGCTGTAAGCTCATATTATCACCTCAAACTGTCATTTTGGATTTTTGAACACCCCTTTTCCAAATGATTCGTGCCTCTTTTGCACTGTAGTTGATCCCGAGCGGGCCTTATGCCGCTGTATGGATCGGTCGTTGCCGCGGGAACAACGAAACGGTGGAAAACCTGTCTCTAACTCCTGTGCCGCTTTCCCCACAGCGACAAAGGCATCGACAACACGGGCACCCGCTGCCTGTGGTTTCTCCAGACCTTTCTGTTCGGCATCACCTCCCTGGGCCTGCTCCTCAAGTACGACCCCAAGCGCCCCAAACAGCACTGAGGCCAGCAGGCAATCCCTCCCAGCAATTCTTGCATCAGAGATTTCTTTAATGACAAAAAAGGTGCGCTACATCTCTGACTGAGACACTACATATATTCTTTCTCCTGTCATGGACAGGCACTGATATCATTCCATTTTTGTTCCTGAACAAATCTTAATGAGGATAGTATTGATTTGTAAAATGTTAGCTTTTTAAAAATTTGGTTACACAAACAATTACCTGTGCAATCGAACAGAGTTTTTAATTGAATTGCTGTTCACGGTCAGCATGCATGATGACCAGGGGACTGTTCTTCTGACCACACGGACAGAGTGCCAGACAGGCCTGGTTGCCGATGCCACTGGCCTTAAAGCACCTTTAAGTCTACATGAGAGCTATCTGGATTAAAAACAAAGATGTTCTGCTTTCACCTTTGCCTTTTTCATACTTTGGTGCTTTCAGCCATTGAACAACATACCGGAGGTCTCAATGGGATCAGTTTATACTGTATTAACAATAAAGATTCCACACTTTTTGTTCCCCCAGTCTGATCAAACTAATGATGCTCCACACCACATCCCTGCATTTATTCAAACCCACATCGTTTATGGACGAGAGTCCTGAAAAATGTTTATATATTCTTGTATTCCTGCCACCTCACTGATTTGAACTGGAGAACTGAATATTAAAAGGCAAATGAACAGTCATTTTTGAAAAATTTCTGCCATTTCGAAATACCAACTCTGGATATTTACAGGGAAACAGCCCCACTCTAATTCAGAAAAAAACTAATCTTAGTGTTGTTTTATGACCCCACACAATTAGGTGTGTGTATCATTTGGGTGATCGGTTTGATATAGGCTGAATGAGGCAATAGCACAGGGTCACAATGTCCTCTGCTTACAACCATAAGAGCATTAGCTCGTCTTAACTTTCCCAGTCTACATGAGAGCTGTCTGAAACTATTAATCGGGGTGGATAGTGTAGACTCAAACCACCCTCCTGTTATGTGTCCCTTTCATTCTTAGGGGTATGTAGCTCATAGAAAAACATCACCTTTACTTTGGCCCAAAACAAACAAACAAACAAAAGAAATAAAGAAACAAAGCCACAAACTGGGTTAATTTATTTAAATTTTATTCAGAGAACACATTCTCACGACTTGCTCATGGAACTATATATATATACAGAAATATATACAGTATTTCAAAAACGTCCTCCCTTGAAAAATAAATCGTATGCTCTGACGTTACATGTGTGTGTGTAGCGTACATGAGGTGTAAGCCAGCATTTATCCATACAGTCCATCCCTCAGCTAATGTAGTGATTGAGATACGAGCTAGAGTCATCCTCCGGATGCAGTTTCACCACTTCACAGGAATCAGTGAGGCGGGATTAACAAGAACAGCAGCAGAAATAACGGAAGGAATACAAATTATATTTGGTCTATAATCTCTCGGTTTCTCCGTACACACACTGGTGAACAAGACTGTATTATAATCATGTTGTCGTAGCAATATACAGAACTCATGTTTCGTAGATGTGTGTGTTGCTCCACATTTGATGACAGTTTAGTGCGTGTGTTTGTGTGTGTGTGTGTGTGTGTGTGTGTGTGTGTGTGCTGTTGTCATGATCACCGGTCCAGCCAGCATATCGAAGGGTAGCGATCGTTCAGTGCCTTGCGCAACTGAGCGTTTTGTGTCTTATCCCTGGTTTCCACCACGCACTCCACCTGTCAACACACTTTAGGGTTAGCGCTCTTACATCACACAGATGAACACAAGTCAGAATTAGGCCGCTGTGCGGGGTTACTGGTTAATATGCTTGGCCTGTCACCTGGACAAGAGTTTACTCAATGTGGGTTAAGGAACTATTCTGCTTATCACAAGCAAAAGTACCCGATGTACACAATTATATGTTTGTCAGGGTTCTTTTCAAATGGTACTTGTCTGTTTTTAGTTTTTTTCCCAATTAATGTAGGTTTAAACAAAACAGAAATCATATTTGAAACATGAAGTACATCAGAACTATCCGTGTATTTATTATAAAGCAAAACACAGTGATTCCGATACAATTAAATTGAGAATAGCTCTATGACATAGTAGCCAAGTAGACCAAAAACTGGCTCCGAAAAAAGTTTTTTTGCACTGTGCTTCTGGCTCTGCTTTTCTAAAAGGTTGGAAAGGCGGAGTTATTGCAGTCTGCAATTTATGTCACTAGATGACAAGAACATTTGTGAATAGTTAGCTGACATCCCTTTAGCTTAATCATGAAAATCTTTAAGGTTATTAGAATTCCTTGGTAATCTAGGGCCAGTCTTTTCACTGGCCTTTGCGCAGTACATAACATACCTAAATAAATATCTCCCTTCTAACTGTTTTGAATATTGGGCCAGTTCTTAGGCAATGGTGGAAGACGTGGGTGAGCGGATTGGAGACGAGGCGGACGAAGCATTAGGTGAAAAAAGGCAGCTTAGGTGCCTACCTTTGCCTTGAAAAGGTCGGCTTTGTCACCGTGTCTGCGGTGGCAGACGTCCAACAACCTAAAAGAAACAAAAAAACCAAACGGAGGTGGGAATTAAGGGAGGTGAATTAGGCGACAAACATGAAACCGATTAGGCCTGGAAGCAGCACAGGCGTCCTTACCTCACATCCTCTCTGGACAGCACATCAAGCAGCTTGGCCATGTCCCCTGGCCATTCTCCCAACTGCACAGAGAACTTACTGACCCGATCATCCAACACCAGAGCCCGGTCCAGGCACTGCCTCATAAGCTCCGGCTCCATGTTAGCACTGCTCACCACCACAACCACCCTGGAGCAGAGAGAGAGAGAGACAGGGGCTGTTTTTCGCTGGAACCAACAGGATTAGCGCTGATGACACTGCCAGGATGTCACCTTAAAGAAATTCATGTCAGCCCTTAGGAATTAGAGTTTTTTTTTTTATTAAAGGGAAGAAAGAACTGTGCTAAACTTAAGGGGGAAAAAACTAAACAAAGTTTCTTTGCAAAACCAATTGATCCGACCCACTTTTTTCCTCGCAATTCTGGAAGTTGTCCAGCCAAGATGGCCGCCAGTCCCATGGCTCCTTCTGTGTCCACAGTGGACCGCTCAAACTCCTGAAAGCGCAGCATGGCCACCAGAGACTCTTCCTCCCTGGGGGTACGGATCAATTTTTAAAAATGGTGTGACGTTCAAATGCCAGCATCAGTCAGCACAAAGATGTGCTGCCACATTATGGAAGATAATATACTTGAAGACGTGGTTATCTCATATGTGTCACGCATGTTAAATGGGATTCCTGAAGGAAAACCTTTGAAGAGGAAATAGGCTGTGGAGACACAGTACCTGACGGTAATTACTTTATCCACCAGCTTCTTTGCCAGCTGGAAGGTGTTGACACCGAGTGAACGCTCCATAAGATCTGTGAACAGACAGATATTCATTCGCTGTAGGTGTGAAATGTAAATAAAAGCAAAAATCTGAGAGGAGAACCTTGGCCGGGAGGATTGAATTATATCCTGCATTCACATATACGGTGTGACAGTCCCTCTCGGGAAATGTAGCATGAAGACAGACTCACAACGACTACTTTGGGTTTGCGCTGGGCACCCCAAACTTGACATGAGCTTACCTCCGTATAGTTTCTTATTAGGCTTGCTGTGCATGTCTTTGATTGGACTGTCTGTTTTCATAGATTGTAGCAGCAGAGGGAAACCCTCTGGTTCAATGCCCTGTTGGGAGAAGTATTTTGGTTGTCATTCTATTATACTGTTACACTGTATGTTTCATAAGTCACAAAAATTGTGCAGAGCTATATTTCTATGCAGAAAATTCCCCTCAGCTTGTATCATCCATGTCTTTAATATTATGAAAATGTATTGATAATGAAAGATTTGAAGATAAAGAAGTGAGGCATAACCCAACAACATATTTTCTCAAAGGGATAAGATTAGGAAAATACAGATTGAGACAAAAATTCACAATTTTTTCTACGATTCTTTTAGAAGACATAAGAGCCAAGATAAAAAATCCATGTAAGTTTTGTCAGTGGGAAACACTGACTAAGGATGATCATCTGCTGTTTTATGCATGGAATAACCGTATGACATAGTGGACTTAAAGTGAACTTATCGTGAAAATATAACTACCCTGGGTCATTTTAGCATCTCAGTGATGCAAAATATTAATGGCCATTTATTAAAGTTTCATACCTTGGGGACATTTCCCTCAGACTTAGCCAGGGCTGTTGAGTGCTTCATATCTTAACAAAGGCGGAAGCTTTCTAAATTTTAAATAAGGATGGACAGTCACACAACGACTTGGTATATATTGCTCATTTATGGGAAGCTTGATCAGAATGACATGCACAAATGTGGGATATCTGTCCCAAAATGGTTTTGGCTGTAAAACGACGAGGTTCATGAAAGATAAGAGAGACTGCACCAGTGCTACATCTCACAACTGAGGCTGCACTGAAATATGAATTCATCTGGGATGGAGAGTCGAGGAATTTGTATATTTCTTCAGTTTAATAGTTTCTTACTTACTATGACAAGAATTCGAGAGTTGAGGTGTTTGATGGCTGCAGCAGTGCCGGCCAGAAGACCGAACTGCCCCGGCGCAGGAACAACAACCGCATCCACTTTGGGGACTTGCTCAAAGATCTCCATACCCACGGTGCCAAGTCCGGCCAGGTACGCTGCATTTTCATCTCTGGGAAATGGCCAAGAAAGAATAATCAAGCTTATTTCAGCAGAAGGCAAAAGGATCATATGCTGTCATGTCAAAATCTAAGGATCTAGACGTATGGCAAGCGGACTCTTCCAGGTAGAGGTATCCATTCTCCGTGGCCAGATGGCGGGCGTGGTTTTGGGAGTCGCGGCTGGTGCTGCCGTAGGAAATGACCATGGATCCGTAGTCTCGGTAGATCCGGAGACGCGGCGAGGAGCACCCTGAGGGCATGATGACAAACACGGGGATCTTCAGCTCCACGGCGTGGTGAGCCACAGCCATGGAGAAGTTACAGTCCGTGGCCACGATCACGCCCTTTCTCTGCTGCTCCTGTTAGGAAACATGCAGCATATATACACACACTTAAACTCTTCAGTTCATTGAAACTTAAAAGGCAAAGAGGTGTCTTGAAACTGTCTTTGCATATGTTTTTTTAAAATTCATCTGTCAGGCCTTGGCTGGTTGTAACATGCTTCGCACTAAATTAGCCTCATTTTCCCACTCATAGAGTAAACACATTCAAACGGAGCCAGCCCAAAGGGTTTGACTATTTTTAGTCAAATAGCACTTTTTAATAGTCTTACTTGTAAGACTAAAAATAGTCTTACAAGTAAGAGGTGATCAGTTAACTTAACTTATGTGCTCTTGCACTAACGGACAAAGCAGATCACACAAGCTGAGACGGGACCAACAAAGAGGGATCATCCCCTCTCGATGAGCCTCTTTCCGGCTAGTTTTACCTGTGTGAGGGAGGTAAGCAGGTACAGCACTCCTCTCTCCTTCACTGAGCCCGTGTAATGCAGGTGCTCCTTCTTCAGGTAGATCTCCATTCCATACTGTTTGGACAGTCTTGAGTACTGTAAGAAAGAGGCAGCACAATACATTTAATGCAAAAAATGCAAACTTTAAGTTCTTTCATCTTTAAATAATTTCTCTAATAATCAAAATGTGTCCATTATTTGCAGTTTTATTAGAGACAGGTGGGATTAAACAAAAACCTACAAGAAAATTTAAGGTACACCTCAAATGAAGCTGTCAAACATGGAAAATGACAAGACACCGAACAACTCTTGATATCAGTCTTTTCTTACGTATATATATATATTCAGCTAGTACTAATTCTCAACTCTTGCCCTTGCTGAACTGAGGTGGATGGATAGTGATATGACTATCAATGTATTTTGTTTTACATACCCAGATCCTTACATTAAACTATTTCACCTCGTGAAGCTTGGGGGAATGTCCAATGAGTGGGATCAGATCTATCCGTTCACCCGTTCTCCCTTCTTTCCCACATGGTCACTCCTTCCACATTTTTCATGAATACACTGCTCTTGTATGACTGCGTTGTTATTTTGGTCCTCACTGAGCCTTTCAGCTCTTTTCTGTTCATGAACGGCACATTCTGCCTACTACCTATCTCCACCTTCTCAGGTTTCCCTTGGAGGAGCCTCAAGAGATGCGTCAGTATCTGAACTTTGGGCCTTTCTCGTCATCTGTCATATTCATATGTGTACACCAAACTTTCCCACTCATTTCACACTAATAAACGGATCCCTACTTGTTGAAACTAATTTACATATCTGAGCCTCATATCTGAGCCCCTAGTTGAATGTGCAGCCATCATACCGTACAAGGTGTCTTCTGTATCCCTGACTGGATCCTAAAAGCAGCTGCGCTGATATCCTCAAAGCGGAGGTACTGAGGTGGAGGTCTGGGGATGTTCCTGAACTCGCTTACTCTTCTAGTTTTAGGGGGGTCCATGAGCTTCATCTCAGGAGCTCCCACCACTTTGGTTTCATAGACCCTGACATCTCCATTGAGGAGTTCCTCCTCGCCAAAGTCCTTCAGACGCTCTGGTTCGATCAGAGTGGGTCGGCGGCCCACGGTGCCATTGCTGAAGGGCCCAGATTTGTAAGGGCCACCTGGCTGGCTGGGGCCAAGGCGTAATTCCTCCCTGAAAAAAAAAATGAGGGGCAGATTGAAAAACTTTAGAAAATGACAACGCAGATTACAACAGACAATAAGAGTCATTGTCTTTATCTTTTAGTTCCGGTACACCAATGGTAGGCTATTGCGGCAAAAACAGGTGCAGCATATAAAGAGAACCTGGGAGGTAAAGACTGAGCAGAGATGGGCCCTGTGACGATGATGGCCTGGAATAGTAGATTGAATTGTTGCAAGGTTGTTATTAATTTTCTATCAAATGACTCACTAATTTTAGTTTTCCTCTTCAGTGCAAATGGGAAAAGGTGGGGATCCTCTGTTGGGGATGGGTCCTTCCCTCAGATGGAGAGGTTTAAGTATCTGGGGTATATTGATCACCAGTCATGGCAGGTGGGGCTTCTTACATTGTGGCTAGAACAGTTCTCTGCTCCTTAGTGATGAAGAAGGAGCTGCGCGGAAAGGCAAAACTTTCAATTTACTGGTTCAACCCTCATCTAGGGTCACAATCTGGGAAGTGACTGAAATAATGAGTCCAAAGACACAATGGGTTTAATTTAAAGTGTGGCTGTGCCATCCCGAGGGATCTCAGAGTAGAGCCACCACTCTACTGCATCAAAAGCATTCAGCTGAGGTGATCTGGGCATCTGGTTAGGAATACTTCTTGTTCGACATTGTGATGTTGCCCAAGGGAGGACCCAGAACTCCCTTAAGGGATTATTTATCTCTGCCGGCATGGGAAAACCTCATGATCCCCAAAGAGGCAGTGGAATGTTATACTAAATGTAAAATAGACAAGGCCAAGACAACCTAATGACACATTTTTAAACGGATATTTTTGTACAGAATAAAGCTTTTGTACTTGTGAATTCATTAAAAAGACAGCTTGGGAGAAAAGGAAAATCCAGCAGTTTAGTTTCAAGTCATGATCTAAGCCACAAAGAAACAAGAATTGGACTCCCCTCATTTTAATCATGCTCTGAAACTACAGCAAAGGCATATTTGCTAGCAAAGCGGCTCAATCAGAATTCAAGGCTGGTCGGGAGAATATTTCTTAAGGGACATTTTCAGAGTTTTCACGTTTCGGAGAAAATCGATTTTACCTCAAGATTCACACAAAGAAATCATAACCACCGCAGCTCCCACTCCCATTCTTCAGTGGGAAATGAATTGATTCACCTTTCATGTCAACTCAGCTTCCACTCTATGTGATAGATTACATCGATAAGTCAGTCTATGATTTATCAGGATGGTTTGGCTCTTCTTTTTGTGGGGACACACTAATTAAGTTGCAATTTAAAGCTAAAGACCAAAGACATATTGATTTATAGCAGCTTAGTAAATGGACAACGCATTACACAATTCACTAAATTGTTCAGTTCTCTCTAGGTCTATTCTTATTTCTCAAATAACAAAAACAAAAGCCCCTGTTTATCCTACAGTGTAATTTGTTATATCTAAAATGTCAAGATAGAACAATAGGATTACCTTCCTTTCCTGGGGATTAGGTTGTTTACTTAGCCACAAAAGCAGATTTCTAATGTTTTGAGTATAAGTTTGTGACTTAGTAAAGTTGCATGTTAGAATACCGTCACTAATATTAACATGTAGAGTTTAAGTTGGATAATTTGGACAGTGATTAGTGCTTCTGAAAAGGCTGAAAATATTCTAATACGTGAATGTACTTTAGTGAGCCTAGAGAGTGAAAGAATCATGTCCAAATACCACCAGATGGAGCTGCTATCCCAGGCAAATATGAATTTTAGCACATCAGGAGAGCCAGCACTCTTTGTTTAATATCCTGTTCTACACATTAATCTTTTAAAGAGCAACACACATTATCTATTGTTCCACCTGGTCTAATTTTTTTATTGTTTTTCTTTTTTTTATTACTGTGTATGCATTTCTTTTTTTTCTTAGGTTGAATAAGAAAAATCCAAAGCTGCCCCTGTGATTAGATTACTTTGGTTCAAAGGCAGAGTTCAAAACAGCCTCAAAGAGAAGAAAAACGTGGCACTCTCAAAGAGGCTTATGAAAGGTGGTGAGCCAAAATGATAAACAAGGTCTTCCATCTCAAAATGGTGCTTGGACAAAGCAAACACTGAATTTTAAACAAGCAGGCTTTCATCTCTGCACTTTGAGAGTCTTAAATTCTGAGATTAAATGATTTTACTTGCTATTGTGTAGCTTATTCTTCCAACTGGATAAGTTCTTATGGCAAGATAAAAAGTTTCCTAGCACAACACCCTAATCAAAGACAATGCCTCTTCACAAAATGACCTTCTGTTTCTTCTTTTTTCAATAAGCCTCCCTGCATTCTTTACTGGTTTCTTTTGGCCTCCTTGGATATTGGACAAAAAGCCAAAGAAGGACAGGCTACCGACAAACTAAGTATCTGAAAATATATTTCTGTTGAATCCTGATTGCAGTTTTGTATAATTGAATTCTAACAGTTATGGTGCTTCCTGAAAGACGAAACAAAAGGTTGAGAACACTGATAACGACATAATTATATCTAATTGCTACCAAGACACAGCAGTTCACTCCAATGATTATTTAACAGGTCATGCACCTCTTTTAATCTGGTGCTACCTTTTTAATTGTAATCCTCCTTGGTAATTCCTCTGGATAAAAGGAAAATGACCTAAATTGGAAACAAATGGAGGACTAAGGAAGACGCTCAAGCAGAGGATCGTTTCCTTGTGGCTTAGAGGGTAGATAGAAGCACCCATACAAGGTGCTTAAGTGTAGGAAGAGGTAACAGATTATGGAGATGGAAGACAAGAAAACTATTTGTGTATTTGGGGTATAGAGGAGCAGTAGATTCTTTGGGGGAAATTGTTTGAGGAGAATTAGAAATGCTGAAATGGAGTTCGCTATACCTTCATATGGTACAACAATATCGAAACATGATTATTAAGGGGTTGAAGGTTGGTTTTAAGGAATTCGCCTTGGGAGATCTGGGATAGGATGCTAAACAAAAAGGATTTAGATGAGGATAAGATTGAACTGTAAAAATAAAGGTGCTGATGTTGTGGAATAAGGAGCTACATTCGATTCTAGGGTAAACTGGTTGCTACAAAATTGATCTGAGTTGGGGGAAGAGAGGCCTGGACGTGGCACAGATTCTACACCTCACAGTTTCCCACCTCTCCCAGAAGGGATCGTTCTCTTCGCTGTCTTTAATCGCCGGCTTTGGCGAGAACAAACGCTCGAGCCGTTCGCTCAGGTAGCTGGAGTAGAATAACTGGGCAGCAAAGTTCATCCTGGTCGGGGGACGTTGCTCTTACAATCCAAACGGGCGTCTGGAGGCGAATCCCTCTCCTGCTCCTGGCTGCGATGTGTCCGAGGGATGAGAAGACACCGGCTGCAGTGGCTCCCACGGTGTTACTTCTTCTGCTCGAGCTTCCTCCCTGTTTGCTCAAGGGTTATTTAAGAGGGGATTACCGACGGACACGCATGGTGGTTGTGGAGTGTCTGTGTTGTGGCCTGGCCCCTCCCAGGGCTCTATTCCTGACCAGACCAGGATTACTTCCCCTTTCTATGACGTAGTGCTAATAAGATGGTCTAAGGAGATAAATACAGAATTAGAGTTTATCTGGGGAGCAGTGATCTGGAAGCTCAACAACACAGGAGGGAGAACTATAGATGGAGGGTCAGAAGTGAAGGTCCGTAGGGTGAACGACTTATCTATGAGCAATATGGAACAGGTTTATGTGTGCAGCGTTCAATGATTTCATTTCTGTGACCCAAAAATACAGCGATTTTAGATTTTTTTCCTAAATGTATTAGGAATCTAAGCTGTATATAAAACAGACATACAGACAGGAATCAATAGTCATTGCTCATGTCACAAAGAAACTAAAAAAGATGTTGCTACAAGAGAAAATGGTTTTCTTTATGGCATAAATAGTTTTACAAGTGGACTGTAGAAAAAGACAGGCTTGCAATCCTGACAATGGATACTTGGGGAAAAAGCAGAGAAGAGCTAAATTGGCTGCAGCGAAAACCCAGCAGGTGGTCCAGATCTTGTTTAGCTTCGATGTGCTAAACAAATTAGTCTGGTTCAACGTGTTCCTCTACTCCGACCGCCGGAGCATTAGTGGGCCAGTACGTACTAAACATACTAAACATACAACTCATGCCCCAAACCACTCAAATGTAAGCTCATTTGTAAATGTTTATATAAGTCCCAAGAAGTTCCTTTTTTATTCTACTTCTTTTCCTTTCTTTTGATTCATTTTTCCTGAGATGACTTAACTGCCAACTTTAGAGATACATTCATTTCCAAAAGATTTCCGTTCTATTTGGTTTAGAATGTACATATCAAAAGATAATATGCCTTATATTCAGACATTTGTGTCTATTCACTGCTCATCTGGACTGTATGGGGAGTAGGCAACTGGTACTTTGCCCAAACAATATTTTCGGACTTTCTAAAACCTATTACCCAAATACCCATGTCCTCGAGTCAATCCTTTTTGATTCTCCGATCCTATTCATCTTACTCAAATCCACATGACTTATGCTTATCCTTTGAAACATGAATCTTTATCGAGACACTCTGTCTACATTTATAGAGACATCATTTCCGATATTGTAAACACTTATATATATATATATATATATATATATATTGTCATGGAAAATACATTTCAGAAGTACAGACAAAAGCATTTATAAATGGGTGTTTCTATAAGTCCAGAAAATCCACAATAGGATTAGGACGCCAAAGTCAAGGAAAGCAGAGGTCAAACGAAGACTTCACACACCCCATGGCACATCACGTTCAGATTAGATTTAGCCTCTTAAACAGGGGCAGGACAGCAGAGGATGCTGGGGGGCAAAGTGGGCTCAGAGAGCTCAGACAACACGGCTTAATGAGGCCCAAACCGAGGAGGAGTTTACCCACCGACAGGATGAAATGAGTACTCTGAGGGTTCCTTTAATCTCCGTGTGCCTTCGGTGACATCTGGTCATCATAACCACTGACAGGTGTTAGACTTAACAACACACAACAACAACAAACAAAAAAATTTGGATAGGAGGCAAAGGAGGGGAACGATGGAAATAGATGGGGAGAAGGTCACCCTGCCTCCAGCAGTCTGTCACACCACAGATCAGCGTGACGCTGGTCACTGGATGCCATCTCCTTCAGGGTTTGGCTCTCCGACATGCTTTGTGTCTTACCATTGTTCCTGGTGTCTTCAGTCAACACACAGCACTAGTACGAAGGATTACAAGACTCCAGCAGACGTTTACGTGTAAACATAGATCATTTACGTGCTCGGTGTCCAGAAAAGCTGCAGGAAAAAGAGCTCAAATGTATTTTCCCTATTGTTTGAAATTGGGTGAACTATTAGAATTTGTGCGTTTCTTCACTGTGCATCATGACCAAGTGTCAGACTGGATGTCTGCCACATGCTGAAAAGATTCTACAACTGACGTATTAACAGGTGATAGGATAAGACGTAACGGAAGAGTCGGACTAACAAATTTTAAATTTCATATTGCGAAAAACGTTATTTTTCCAATATTTGTATATTTGTAAAAGAATGTTAGGAAAACGTCTAAAGTTTTAGAACAAAATGGCTGTTTGAATATCCAGTGACCTTTTAAGCCTCACTACATGATAAACCGTCATATATATATGTGTCACTATCAATGCAGCCACATGTGCTCAGGAATACTTTGGAAAACCAATGTTACTCAACACCGGCCACTACTACATCCAGATGTGCAATCGGACACTGGATGACCTAAGCGGGAAGCCGAATGTCAACAGACTTGAGTTGATTTTGCATGGACAGAAGGAAAGTGAACACACTTTGTCCCGTGACTTGTTTCTGCTGCCTCTGGGATAAAAAGGACTTTGAGGCCATTGGCTGCAAAGACCAAACACGTTACGGAGACAAGAACCAGATGACCACAGGCTGTAGAGAAGCTAAATGCTGGACTATAGTTAGTGTCTTCAGTTTAAGAATGATTATATAGTTGAACTGAACAGAGGAGTAATGTGCTACAGTGGTCAACTTACCCTCCTGGTCATAGATTTTCACATTTCTCAGTGAGGAACTGTCTCTGGATTTGGTGTAACAGTGATAATAAACACTCAGAGGGCGGATAATGTGAGGTGGGATATTAACCATCGTTCATTTTCCCCGACAGGACCTCGGCCTGCATCTCAGCTTTTTGTTTTTTATCTGTTTATAGACAGAAGTGCTTCCAGCCTCTCTTCTTTCGTCCTTCCGCTGATCCTTTCGCAGCCTTTCCCCACGGTTTGGTCTTCCCACTGCTTAAACCACAGATCTGCTTAAGCAGCCAGACGAAGTGAGAGCAAGAGGCCGAAGACAGTCTGGCTTAATGAAGATAACCGTGTTTACTGCGTAACAGCCCCGCTCCGCGTGTATGTCTAGAGAGCGGCGTGAGTCACACAGCGGAGAGCGAGCCGCAGAGGTCAGTTCAGTGGGAGGAACGGGAAACAATCAATGCAATTATATGTAAAGGGCACCGTGTGAAGGAGGATTGATTTTGATATCTCCTGCCGAACACAAAAATACTGTGGGATTTGTTTGTTTTTTCGTGCGCGTGCCTTCATTGTCAGGGTGTACAAACACTGGCTAAAGAGCTGTGGACTGTAATGTCGGACAGAGGGAGAGAAGCTTTCTTTGAAGCATTAGTGTGTAATACCAACTCTACATTAACATAATTATGGAAGCTGTGTGAATCATCAAAAAGAGACTGCAAAGCTTTCTAAGTCACACAAACCAATAGATTCTAAGACAGCTAAAGACAGAAAATTCACCATCTTCCCAAAAATGTGTCTCAAGAGAGTTGGGATGGAGGCGAATAAATAGTGGTAGAGTGGTAGAAACAGATTTTTACTGCCTTTTTTACAGATTTTTACTCATTTTACTGAATTAGACTGGTTGTCAAGAGGTCAGCAAGTTGATTGGCTTTAGAAAAAGAGCATCTTTAATCGACAGAATGTCTCAGTTTAAAAATTGGCCAAATCTGCCCAACTATGCATAAAATCTGTCTGTGAATCAAAGCAAACACCATTGCAGCCATTGTATGCTGTTCTTCGATGTATAATTTAGAAATATTCTATCATGTTTAAGACATCACATCATCCAAATTTTAAGATTGATGTCTGCGTTCATTAGGCGACAATGTAAAAAAAAAAAAGGGAAAAAAAGGGAGGGGGGGGGTCTATAATGGGAATCTCTGCTTTGGCTCATCAGTTCCAGAAGTCATGTCTCTTGACACAATTCATCAAGCCGACCACAAATGGAGGTTTAACTCCTAATACAGAAAGAATTTTGTGGGACTTCTGTGAGCCGAAGCCCATTTGTAGTGGACTCAGGCAAAACAAATATTTGAATTCTAAATGTACTTCTGGAAATCATAGGTTCCTCATCCATTAGACCACAGAAAAACGGATGGCTCTTTAGCAGCTCTCAGACTGGAACATTCTGGTCCACAACGGGTTGCAACTGGTCCCTTCAGAGGTAAACATGCCCCCCCCCCTCCTGTCCAGGCCTTTGTTCCAGACATTTCAACTTCTGAGATGTTTTCTGGAGTCTGTTTTGACCTGCACTCCGACATTAAAAGCCCCTCCATGAAGGCAGGGTCTTTTTTTTCATTTTCCAACCCCACCACCAAGCAAACGTTTCAGGCCACATTACAAACCAGACCCGTTTCCTTCCTCACAAGTCAGCCTGTGTACAGCCGAGCTGGGGGGGGGGGGAGTCCCCTCCCCGGCCCGTCCCCCCCCGCCCCTCACCAGATCCCCAGCCTTTCTGTCCCGCTCTGCAAGTTTTCATTAGGAAACCGGGCACAACCCAGTCCAGGAGAGAGGGCTCACAGGAAAACAGAACCCGCTGCCAAAGAGAAGGGATTTTGGAGGAAAAATCTATCCAGCTTTTTTCTTCTTTTCTTTTCTTTTTCTTGGTTCTTTTCTGAACAAAAAGGACCCTCTCAAACGCTCTCGGCTTGTCACCGGTCTCCCCCGTTCATCATGCCTGCTCCCCGTGGCGTCGCCCCCGGACTCCTCCTCGTGCTGATTGGCTGCGCGGCGGCAGGTGAGCGATGGAGGGAGGGGAGGGGGGCGTGGTCTGCAGGGGGAAGAGTCCGTCCTGGGCTCCGGGTGGAGATGAATCCTCCTCTGGTGTTGCCCGCGAAGTGTCCGCAGCATCCCAGATGTGCGTAGGTGTGTTCAGCTCCAGGGTTGGGTTTTATTATTTTTTTTCGGGGGGGGCAGGCACATCTGCGGCCGATTTAGCTGCAGCTCTGGTTGCGTTCGGGTTCCCGGCATCCGCCCGTGCTCCAGTGGACTGGTATCCAGTGGAAATTCACAAAAAAAAGGCAGGCCAGCCCTTCCTGGAGTCAGACCGGTGAGCGAAGGCCTCCGGTGGGAATTACGCTGACTCCACACCCCAAGAATGGCCGACTGAGGGGAGCACATATCCAAAACACACACTGGCTTCCACAGGAAGGTCCCAGAGGCTTCTCTTTACGCCTCTTTTTAAGGATAAGTGCATCATTTCTGCTTGAGTTTGTGTTTACGTCACCCCCCCTTTTTCTTCATTGCAATCTGTTTTGATTCCAAACAGTTGTAAATGGAGTGCCCCCCCCCTGGGCTGATGAGTGAGAACTAAACCTGCTTCTTCCTGGGAAAAAGGTTTCAGAGGGACTGGGGGGGTTTCTCCCATCTGTATGTGGGATACTCCCCAGACAAAAAGGCCCGATCTTCACAGGCAATTAACCTAGCTTTTGCGTGTTTTTTGGTTTGTTTTTTTGGACTTAACACTTTCAAAAGCCACGCAGACGGAAGGAAAAAACGCAAAGCCGACGGGGAAAGGCCGCGGCCGGCTAAAAATACCCGCTGGGGGGGGGGCAGATTTAAGGTGTCAGGTGATGTGTGCAAAAAGCAAAGCGCTAACAGGTCTGTCCAATCGGAAATATGGACGTTTTCAGGCCCTCCTGCCGGTTTAAACCCGGACTGATCTCCTAACTGAGGAGAGAGGCTCAAAGTGAGAGTTCTAAATCAAATGAAAACGACTGCAATGTCTGTATAGGCAGTAAAAAACCAGGCCGGCGGTGAACTTTAAGCAAACAGAGTAGTTCCAGATTAGATCTATGTTTGCCTCTTCTACTGTGTGTGTGTGTGTGTGTGTGTTTGTGGCATAAGGGGGTGGGTTTTGGAGAGTGTTGCTATGAGAGATTTCCCAACCTCTTGCAATAGCTCTGACAGAAGAGGCGAGGGGTGGGGGGGGAGTGGCGTGGGGGGGGGGGGTGGACAAAGAAGCTGAACCTAAATGGGGAGAAAACGCCTCCTCCCTGCTTTGTAACACAAGCTCGTAATAAGACAACATCCAGGCCAGTCAGCTCTTTTTTTTTTTTTTTTTTGCCTCAGCCCCACAGTGCACACATGCACTTTTATTACACACACAGACACACATACACACACACAGAGCTTTGGCAGGGTGAGGCATTTGTCACCAACGTCAGCAAGCGGCTTTTTCTCTGCCGACACCTCGGTGGGAGCCCAGCTGCGGTTTGGACGCGTGTCAGAACCCCCTCCTCCCACATTTTTCGGGGGGATTTTTTTTGGGGGGGGTTTGCATTGTTGATTCAGAAACCAGCAGCACACTCTCGTTACCACAGACACAGTCCTAGTGGAATGCAGAAAGTGAGTCCCAGAGTGGGGAAGAACAGAACTTTGAAGACCTCTTACCTGTCACCGTTCAATCTGTCACCGTCCACCAACAACACGGGTCAAGCCGTGGCCTTAACATCTGCCCGGTCCACTCGGTTCTAACAGTCCTCTCACCCCGTTGCTCTCTCCTGGCCGGCGTCCTCCGTGTTCGGGACTTGGCAGCCCCTCTACGATCTCGTAGTAGAATCGAAAAAGCACGATGCTCAGGCCCATATCAAAACGGGATGGTAGAAGGAGACAGGGACATAACTCCTGGAAACATCTGCAGCTCAAAGACGAGTTCAAAGTCTATGGTAGGCGTTAGGATTGACTTTACAAACCTAAAAGGGTTACTTTGTTCTAGTACAGGATTTCATGTAATTTGCTAATGGCTTTTGTACATTTTAAGAATTATACTCAGACACTGAAATCCTGTTGTGTCCATAGTTGTTTTTCCATGTTCCTGTCCTGTCTATGAGACGTTGGGTCCAGGTCTTTAAGGACGATACTCAGACAGGCGTTTCTCCTCACATCTCAGCGGAGCCTGCATGGACGGGGAGCTGGCCTCATCATGGAGGTCAGAGGCCCTCCTGTCCAGCCCAGGAGGATCCAGGTCCATCAGAACCAGGAACTGGGGGCCCCCTTTTCTGATGGAGATCCTCACTGAGCTCTGTCAGCTGACACGCTTTACATGTGTCGGGAATAAAATGACACATTTGTACACTGGCCATTTCTCTGGTCGGGCTAAGATAGCTGATGGGGGTCTGAATCATGTCTGCAGAGTGTAGAGAAATCGGCAGAAGAAAACCATTACTGGTTCTGGCCTGTTCGTTTCACACAGAAATGTGAAAACGCTATTAAAAAACAAAACAATACATCAGCTCCTAATGGGCACGAAAAGACGTTTTAATGAAATGACGCCGCCCGGGTTCGTGCGTGTGTTCACGCCTCTGCTCCAACGAGAATATTTTCCATTTGATTGCCCCTTTGATGCTCCCTGATACGAAGCGGGGAGAGAAAGCAGAGGGCAAAACGAGTTGTTAAAAGAAATAGAAATACGTGAAGAGCACTCAAAAAAAGTCTAATCTGATGAATTAGACATGAAAAACAGAGAAGAGGAGGATAGTTTCAACCACAGTGAGGCTGGATCCGAGCCTATCAAAAGATATGACGAGTGAATAATGCAAAAGGTGTTGGATCAAAGTGGAAATCTATCAAGTTCCGCATATTTTTACGCAATTTGGTGATCTTTTATATTACCGAAACCCCAAAACACTTAGCCTGGTTAATTATTGATTTTGAATTTTTACACCAGGTGTGCGTGTGCATGCTTTTGGTTGTAGATTTGCTCTCTGTGTGGCGCTCCGCTGGATTGGAGACCAATCCGGGGGTGTTCCCAGCTTTCTCGCCTCAGTGGCTGCTGGGAAAGGCTCCAGGAGCCGGCAGCTGTGATTGGGCGAGAGGGAGAGAGAGCACAAAACCTGCACGGGTTGCCGGTCCATCACAGGGCTGGATGGAAAATGGGATGTTAAATCTTGTCCGGAGGATGCCAAGAACAGATTTGGACGTTTTGATCTGGTGAAAACAATCAGGACGTTGGCATTATGGTGGTCAGCAGTGTTTCAAAATGTCCCCTTCCTGTGGCTGCAGATGAAGTAGCAGAGATAGAGAAGGGGTATTTGTCACGCCTGATGTTTTTTAGGCCCGTGAGGCCACCGGAGATCACCCACCTGACTGACCCCCCCATTGAACGGGGGCCTCATACTCAGTGACCGGTAGCACGCTGTCCGGCTTTGGGTCGTCCTCTTTTTAAAATGTAACCGTAACTCGGTGTGCTCATCTAAAGAAGTCTGTGCTTTGTGCCTTTTATGGGTGGCAGCTGTGTCTACAGCTACTCAGGAGGTGTTAGAAATGGAAGCCCAGACCCCCCCGCCCCCCTCAACACACACAAATATGCTGGCTTCAAAGAGAGATAGATAATTAGAAACATAACAGCGAGAAGGAAACAGCTGGAACGATACAGCCCCCCCCCCCACCGGCCCTCGCCCAAAAGCGTCATCCTGGGTTCTTATCCTGGACCTCACGCGAGCGCTCGGCCGTTCTGCCGACGTTCCGACGGCAAAAGTGGGAATTGAAAAACAACAGCATGTTAAATGATTCTTCAAAATCACAGACCTGCCCGTAAAGGTAGTAGTCGTCCCCCCCCTCCATCTTGTGTTCACACAAATCAACCTCAGAGAAGTTCGCCAACAGCAAAACGGTGTGCTTCAGACCGGTTGTGAAGTTTTCTTCTTGGGTTCCTTCTTATGGGCTTTTCATTTTTTGTCCTGGTGACGCTGTGTAATAATAATGTGGTGTACAAATGCAAGGCAGGCACATATTTTATGTAATGTCAGTAGTTCTTCATCCAACATCTGTAAGGGGAGGGGTAAAGAGCTCAAATTAGCCCAACTCTTGAGTGATACTTGTAAGTAAAACTAGGTAACCGCTACTTTTCTGTATACACGAGAAGAAATTCATGATCAATTCAGTCAATTCTCAATTTTCTATAGCTGTGCTTAAAATTGATCGGGTAACAGTAGGCAGTCTGCGTGCTCCATTCAAAGCAAAGGAAAAAGCCGAAACAAAACCAGTCAGCACGCACCTCAGGCAGAGCAAATCGGTGAATTCTCCCCCCCCCCCGAAAGAGAGGCAGCTATAGCGATGACGCGGCTACGAGCCGAATGAAGTGTGTTCACCAGCCTGTTGGTCCCACCACAGCAGGAGGTCCAGCTATCGAGGTCTTCTTCCAGACGGTGCATGCGGCCTTCTTTTCAAAAGGTCATCTAAAGTACAGGGATCTCTCCAGGGGCCGTCTTGATAAATCTGCGGGTTTTGTGGTAATAATGTCTCAAGAGAGGCTTCTGAGGCTCTGCAGAGGGATGAGCTAAAGAGACGGAAACTAACCTCTGAGAGGCTCCCCTGAACATAGGAGAAGGAATTCTGTGGTTGGACACGACGAAAAGCTTGTTTTTTTTTGCCAAACTTTTCTTTTCCAAATATTTTAATCGGGAAAAACACAATACAAAAATTCCATCCATCCATCCATCCATCCACCCAAATACAGTTTACCTTTTCCTTTAAATAAAACAAACATATATGTACACGGTCACATACACCCATAGAAACAAGAACCAAGAGAGAGAGTACCATGTAAGACACGATAAACAACCCCCAAACCACCCCCAGCTCACACGACCAACACACACACGGTTACTCATGCAATATAAAAGTTACAACAGTAACAGGGTTACCATTTGGGGAAAAACAGTAGATCTTCTCAAGTTTTAGGAAAAACACGATGTCTTTGAGCCACCGGGAGACAGAGGGGTGTTTGACTGACTTCCAATCTAGCAATGAGGAACGTCTAGCTAGCGAGGATGTGGAAGCTATAATTTCCCCCTGTGTGTATAGCTGAGTACGAGTACGTTTTTGCCCAAAAGTTAACGGGCGAGTGGCCTAGGCTGAGGCCAGACCTCCGTCTTATCTTCCCAAACTAAGAGCGGTTTTGAATCTTCTAAGCATGTTTGCAATTGCGTCACCCCCTCAAATCCCAACAAAATTGAGAAACCCCTCGGCGTTATCGGTCCTCCCGCTCCTTATACTGTTAGATATATTAGTTTCTGTGGTCTGTTTCCTATTAAAAGTCTGTCTTCTGCCCTGTGATGTGCATCCACCATACCGTGCCATGTGTGCTCCATCTGCAGGGGCTGGGGCCGAGGCCGAGACCGGCCCGCCGCCGAGGGGGGCGCGCTCCACCGCCTGCCAGGAGCACGCCGACCTCCACAGGCGCCTGGATGTTGTGGAGAAGGTGCGGCTTTCCACTCTCGGCCTCCAAACCATCAGGTTCCAGACGTTTCGGCCTCTCGGCCTGGTTATGTCGGCTGAAGCCTGAAAAGAATCCTCAGCATTTCCTGCCTGAGATACAGTAACACAGAGTCCACAAAGCTGGGACTTTTTTTAATCACCACAAAAAGTCAATCGTCATCCGACAAACCCCCGACGCTAACCGCGTCGTACGCGAGGCTTTAGGTTTTCTGTTTTATTCAGACGCGGTTTTGTATGATTCATGAGCGACGACTCCATAATTCATCCTACAACTTAATTAATGTATTATTCATTTGTCAGCCCCGTACACATATGCCGCGCCTTCTGTCCCACGCAGGGGGTGGAGAACACGGTGGAGAAGTTGGAGGCGGAGCTGGCTGCTCTTCTGGAGGCCATCGACGCCCCACAGTGGCGCCCCCTACTGGACAACAGGGGAGAGACAATGGTGGACATCCTGCAGGATCCGGACCAGAGGCCCCGGTCCTGAACTGACCTAGACGTCCACGGGGAGGGGGACCTCGTGTGCCTCTTCAACCGCGTTTAAGGACTGTCTGTTCATATATTCTGCATATCTAAACGAAGTGTGTATCTTTTCAGAGGGCAGGCTCTCGCACAAAGGAGAACTCCTCTGCATTATTTACTCTCAGTAATCCTGTGACAGCAGAGAGAAGACCCAAATTCATCCTGCTCTCAAACCCTTTTAGGGCTTTGGCGGACTGAAAATGACACAAAGACACCGAATAGCTGGAGGAAGAAGATTTATTTCTTTATCAAAGCAATTAAAGCAGCATGTTTTGAACACAGAGCAGTATCATCAGTTGATACAGAAACAAGGCTTTTTCTTTTTTCCATAACCGATTCCCTGGGGGGGAAAAAAAAAATCCCACAGCACAAGAACATTGTGCAAAATAGGATCGTTAGGAAGAAATGAGAGGCATGGATTGCGTCATCTTCTTGATTTGTTTTAACATAACAGGGCACTGAGTTTCAAACTGTATCCACAGAGTTAAGACACCTATAGAATGGCATGTCTCGAGAGCATCATTCAGAAAAGGTTTAAGGAGGAAAAATGTTTGGCACTATGCCTTTATTTTTTTGTTGTTTTTATCTATTTTATTTTTTTCAAACACCTAACGGCATCCAAACCATTAACGCACGAAGAAATACACTGGGCTTGCAAGCGCTGTTGAATCAGGAGGGATTACTTATATCAAGGAAGAGATGCCAAAACATTAGATTAGTATTGTAACTTGCAGAAAAGCTACACTTAATTAACCCGCAAAATCAACTATCTTCCACTTACAAAATGATTAACATATAATTACATCTACGCTTTCAGGCCTACAGGGATGCTGTCTGATGCTGTTCTGACAGATGTCACAAGTCTGAAAAAGAAGAGCAAAAAGAAAAAAAACAAACAAACCAAACAAAAAAAAAAAGCAAAAACTTCCCTCTCCTCAAAAGAGACACATTTATTTTTATTTCTGCCTTTTCTGTTTTTACTAAATTATGCAGCAGAGTCTGTCTTTGGGGATCGGGCGCCATCGCCCCACTTCCGAATATTCTTTCCATGCTGCACGGACAAGAATGTAACACTTAATCCACAACAGAGCATCAAACAAAGCGGCTGACCTCATTCCGCTCATCCACAAGGGTAGGAAGCTGTATATCTGGAGAAAGCATTAAAACAACCTATTGGATGCCAAAAGGTACTGCGGTATCGTCTAAAAATATCATGCCTTCCATGTAACACTGGGATTATAGGGTGTGCGCGGTCCAAGGTACACAAAACTCGCTGTCCGGAAACAGTCGCACAGGCCGGTATATACTCTGATTTTAGACTGTGTCCAGAAATCAGGTGAGGTATGCGAGTACCAACAGCTTGTGCATGCACAAATCAGCCTTTAAGGCTCAAGCTCCAGGCTTTGGCAAAAAAAAACAACCAAAAAAAAACAATAAAAACACACACGAAAAAATAAAAAACAGGCTTAATATTGTTAAGGTACATGCAACGAATGAAAATCCAAAATCAAAATAAGCACAGGGCTCAACACTTTTAAATTCAGTACGTATTTTGGCAAGACTCGGAGGACGCCTCGCTTATATTCTATCCCTTCCACAAAGCTACTTAAATGCAATCGTTGTGCAGACTGTCAACGAGAACGTTCCGCGTTTTGGGAAATACACCGGTTTTCCGTCCTTTCCCGGGACTGGCTGAGGCCGTTTTCCGTCAGTCTCGTGTCTGTGCATTAAACTCTGCAGCTCCAGATGGAAAGAGCCCCGGACGCTAGCCCCTATCTGAAGACGCGCCGCTCGGGTCCCCAAAGTACTTTTCAATATCCACAACGGATTGAGAAGCAGGATCTCAGACGAAGCCAAATATATCCGATTCAAATATATGTTTAACTGTGGTGAGAAATGAATCCGTAACAGTCATCAGTCGTTGTTGTGTTGAGGTGAAGCTGAAGAAGCCTCTGGCTGAAGACTCCTCGGTATAACTGCGGCATGTGTTAAAGGGTCAAAGTGTACATTATTCTGTCTACCGGTGGCTTTAGTGGCTCTGCGTCATTTCCTAAGCAGAGAATAAAACATCTTTAGGGTTTTATTCCACCTCATTCCACACTGGGTCGGCCTCCCGTGGTCCCAGGTTGGCACATTTCACTGGATGACGACGCCCGGCAAGTTTCAGAAACCGGGTTCTAGGCGGATTTACGGAAGAATAAGAAGGAGGACGCCTGGCTGCTTTAACTGCTGAGCTGAGTTAGACGGTTCAGGAACACTAACGTGACGGGAACTCGTGCACTTCTTTTCACGTGTCGTCACTTTCAAATCACCTTTACTCCATATTGTAAAACAACCTGAACAGAAATGTAATGTAGCTTCGCTTTTTTTGTTCATTATTCCTGCCTCGTGTTATAACATTAGTAAGCTCCTAAAGGCAATCTTATGTTCTTTTTTAAATGGTTTCACAGCACATGGGATCAAACAGCATTAAGAATGAGTTTCCAAAGCCCTCAGCTGTGCGGCTTCCTCAGTGGAATGATATGCTCCTTTTAGAGATGCCTGCCATCCCCTTTTGACGGCACTCTCGCTTATACCCACCAACCTGACCTCTAAATGCCTTTTTTTTTTAAAGTTCTCTAATCCTAAATTGTCCCATGCGATTAGATCTTAAAAAAAATAAAATAATAAAAACTAAAACCTCATCTTTAAAACCGCCACACAGGACATCTGAATGGAGCTTCATCCTCTGGCGTCACACTTAACACACAGACACAAGAGTGGGGCCGATCCTCTTTTCCTTTTAAGCTCCTGTTGGGATACCAAAATCGGTGTATTTCACAAGATGCCCTTCCAAAACGTTCCCTCCTGCACCCCGATATCGACCGTTTCCAGAGAATCGCGTAACGATTGTACCGATGAAAATATCTTATCCAGGAAGAAGTAAAAGACTTCAGGTTCTACGGAGAAAAAAAACACATACATTCACGCGCTCACGAGTTCCTTAGAAATGGTTATGCAAATGTTAGAAAAGCTTTGGCATATTTTTTGCCTACAAGTTGTGCCTGCACACTTGGGAGGGAGAGCGGCGCCAAGCGCCGGGAAGCTCTGGCGCCGCTCTTCCGTGAGTTTTTTTTTTTTTTTTTTTCTGAACGCGTGGAGTTCGCAGTCCCACATAAAACTGTGGCGAGTTTAATAACCTACGCTGTATGCTATGTACACGGTCTCCGTTTCGCTAGGCCGCGGGGATTTAAGGTGAACTTTTTGCTACATTTCCCCCCAGGCTCGGGGGGTCGGGTCTGAGGTCACTCGGATCACCGTGGTGCCGTGACCCGGTCCACCTGTGAGGACGGAAAGACTACGGCTCTTTTAAATGGCCCGGAGAACCGACGGCTACACGTCTGATCTGACCCTTGCTCTAACCAAGCGCTTAAGACGATGCGGGACGGGAAGAGATCTTCCAGGGGAGACTCTCAAAAAAAGGATCCTGTTATCCTATCACTGATCCCCGGAGCTCGGTTTGTGCAAGAAATAACAACAAAGAGACCCCGTGAGCAGCGAGATCTTTCACTCCACAATTCTGGATACGTCCCCCCCCCCCACCCCGAACTACAGGACACTATCGTCATAAAGAGACATGGAGCAGAACACTTAGAATAAGAGGAGAATCAAGCTAATACATCCTGACCTATAATGCATCCATAACTCTAATAATAGGATTCGACTTCTACTGATCATCATAGACGAGGCACAACTTCAAACGGGTTTAAAACGACATGGAACCTGGCTCTGGTCACTTACTGTCAATGCGTCTGACGATGGCGGTGCCACTAGGAGGTAGGTGCTCCGGGGAGAAAGCCGCCCCGATTTAGGGCGGGGTGGGGGTGGGGGGACGGGGAAGACACAAATCAAGGGCTGAATAATTCAAACATCCCCCTGTTAGATTTGGAGCAAGAAGGCAGAGGGGAAAAAACAAAAAAAACATAGAGGCTCCTCCCCCAAAACACCAACCCCCTCCCCCAAAACACCAACCCCCTCCCCCAAAACTGTGGACTGCTATTGCTGAGGGTGTCATCATGCTTGTGGAGTTTTCTGCTTCGGATGGGCACCTCCTATTAAGTGATACCTTATTTGTCATGCTATAATGTTACATTGCATAGAAGTTGGAGCTTACTCTAGGGGGGCGGTGGGCGGGGCGCTCTCTGGGAGTCTGCTTCATTCATGCCTTACTGGAAAAGATGCTACGGACAGAAAGGGGGGAGAAAAAACGAGGAGGCCCCGTTTTGTGGAGTGTGGAGTCCGTCCTCTGTGCGTTTTCACTGGGCGGGTCACTGGCACGGCAAAGACTCAGAGAGGCTCGCCGTGGTCACTGCGAGGCGGGGCGGCGCTAGCAGCTGCCGGGGGAGGAGCACACAGAGCCGCACATGCTCAGTTTGGAGGAGGACTCGGGCTCCGGCTCTGGGTCTGGGTCCGGCTCAGGTTCGGGGTCGGGGTCGGGCTCCGGCGCGTCCTCGTCGGTGGCCCCGCCTTCGGCCTCCCCGTCCCCGTCGCCACTGGCGCCGTCGTCGGCGCCGGCCTCGGCCGGACCCTCCTCCTGACGCCTTTTCAACCTTAGGCAGACGGAGAGACCCACGCTGAAACCAACTACATCTGGCTGCAGACTGCAGAAGGCCAAGGATGGATATCCAACTCCGCCCACATCCAAGTTGGCCATTTTGATTAGGTCACCAATAGGAAGATCCCAGGCAAGAAAATCCTAATTGCTTCATGGCAATATATACATTAACTTAAAAATAGTGAAATTCAACTTGCAAACACTGGATTAAACTCTAACATTAAATCATGTTAAAGTAGTATATGTTAAAAAGGTTTGTACAATAAGTTTAACCAAAAAATATTTAGGCCTATTTCTCACAATTATGAAGGGTGGAGGGTTAGGGTTAGGATCAGGGTAAGAGTTAGGATTTGGTTTAGGACATCATTTGTCGCTTGATAGACAGTAAAATTTCCACCTGAGAAAGCTGCTAGTCATATGACCTAATCAAAATGGTTGACTTGGATGTGGGAGGAGTTGGATATCCAACCGATGCGTCCTACAGACTGCAGCCAGAGGCTACGGGGTGGGGGTGGAGGGGTGTCTTGGCATAACAACATCCTCTCATTTACTTTTTCTTTCTGTTGTTGTTGTAATTTAAGCACTCCAATGAGAAGGGCTGCCTCTCGTTAAAGCGTGCAAATTAAACAAGCGTGGAAAGGCGCTGATAGGAGCTGGGAGCAGTGAGAGGCTCTGTAGTGCTCTCCACTGCCGTGCACACGTCTACATATCACATCCCTCGTTATAAAAAGAAGCAGACGGCCACTAATTGCCCCGGGAAGGGTTTTAGTAAGGGTGCAGTGACAGGACCTGGTCAATTATATATGAGGCAATAATTGAGTGGAGCACTGAACCAATATCCTCCCCCTTTACATTAAGGAGGAGAAAGCTTTACTCTGATTTATGACATATACACACACACACATATATATATATATGCATATACCGGTGTGTGTGTATATTTATATATATATATGAAATAGAGAAGATTAAGCCCCAGAGCAATCTCAGAGCAGACTCTAAAAGCGCATTCTATCATCTCAGGTTTAAATATCTGCTTCATTTTATTAAAAAGGCAGCGCCGTCTAACAGGTTTGGAGTAGTGAGCACCAGCGCCATGATGGATGAACGTCGGCCCGTGTCAGCAGAGAGACGCCTTTAGTCAGCTCGTTTTTTTTATCTGGACAGCTAGTTTGCGTGAGCTCATGCAATACATGTCCACGTTCCTGTGTGTTCTCTCTGTGAGACGCTGTTCAGCAGTCTCTAAATGGAGTATTACTTATTCTCTATTCACAAAGGAGAATTCTACAATTTTAAGCTTCACACGTTGTTTATATTTGCAGAGCAGGACTTTATTTTATTCTGAAAATTAATTAAAGTGACTTCTTGCAAATTAATAAGATGACCAATTAACACTGTAAGACTAGACTAACGGGAAAGTCTAGGACATTTTTTTAATTTTTTTTTTTAGGAGTGATGAAGAAATTCAAATTGGGTCGTGCCCACCTTTGGTTTAATTTTTCTTCTCAGCATGCATGGTGAGTAATTTCGATGGATAATTCTTTCATTTATGCCCACGTGGGGTAGCAGGGCCGACAAAAGATTTTAGATTTTTTTTTTTTACTTCAAGGAGGAAGACAAAACGGTGACTACAGCAAATATAATTGGGGATGTAACGGGAAGTTGTTCCTGTGCGCCGCCCAAACAGAGGACTCTCTCCCAGCTACTTTCCGGGGGTGGGGGGGTAAGCTTTTGAATGACTAAACAGGAAACGCGGCTTTTAGCTCATGTTATAGACGGTCGGTCGGGCTTTGGCGTTCTCTTACTTCTCACGATTGAAGATCATGAACTCCTGCTGCACGACTTCAAGGCACTCCTGTAGGTAGTCGTTCTCCTGCGGGGGGGCAAACAGACAAAAACACAACGCTCAGGGCCCGCCACGCACACCAGCGCACACCCCATGGAACCTCAGGAGGAGGGGGGGGGGGGGGGGGGGGGCACACTAAACAGGAGGAAACAACCTGAATTATTCAGGCGCCTGACCTCTGAGGTGAAGACGTCTTTTTCCGCCTTTGTTGCTCCTTTCAAACAAGTCATGAATTGTTTGTGAGCCCTCCGCTAAATTGGATGTTTGGCCCGAGACGAAAATAGAAGCTCATATTTCCAAAAGCACTCGGGGCCATGACAACTGCACGGAAGGCTTCATAATTTAATAATCTTAGTAATAATGCAGCACGGGCACAAGGAAGGCAAACGAACACACGCGCGCACACACACACACACACACACACGCACGCACCAAAAAGGAAGTCTCATAAAGGCTCTATTGTTGGAGGCGCACACTCTGATGGGCCCCGGATAACACGTGACGCACACAAACACACGGCCCGACACCGATAAGGCTGATGTCACGATGACTATCTGACGAGAACAGAGCGTTTTCTCGCACATACCCCCCTTTTGTTCTGGAACATATTAAAGCGGTAATCTTATAATCGCTACGTCTTCACGGGGTGTGAGCGTTCGGGGCTGACTGCTCTAATTATCTCATAATCTGCTGATTATTGCGGCCCCCTTTTATTTCCATTTTCAATCATCAATTCTTCAAAAAGAACATTAAGGAAGCCTTAAAGCCGATGCTTGCAATGTTTTTTTACAATTTCAATATGAACCTGTTGTCTGCGGATGCGCCCGAAATCTCCTGCTTTCAGAAAGTGGAATTAAACAGGCTGATTTCTCCATCCAGCTGGTTGATTTTAAACATTTTATTTGGTGTTAACTAAAGCAGCACGTCTGATGTGAAAATATAAGGCGTATTTAAGGGTTCCGCACCACCAGAGGAGCTGCGGGTATGGATTCACTGGTGGCAGAATTGCTCCTCGACTTTGTGTCTATTTCAAAACAGCAAATTCCCACCTGTTACAGGTACGTGAAATGTATGTGACGCAGCTCTCAGAGCAACTCTGCAGACCTCCAAGAGTTAACCAACTCGAGCATAGTGTGCCTTGGGATGGCCTTGGAAACCTGAACTAGTCCAGCTAGTTTCAAACAAAAACGAGGTCACTTTTGAAAGCCCAGAGTTAGCCATTTATCCATCTTAATCTCAGCTTTTTTGGACAAAAAGTTAGAATCCGATTGAACTTCGCACGCTTTCTACTCAACAGCGAGCTGTCACCCCTACTTCAACAAAAATCCAAGGTTTATTTAATTAAAAAAAAAAATACATAGGTGATTTTTCTCAGATTGAATGCATCTACCTTGAAACAGGGGTTGCTATAAACAGAACAGTAGTGGAAGCTTGCAGTATGTGGCTGTAGATATGCAATCGCACACCATCACAACACAACGCAGCTCAGGACGCAGGGAGCCCGAGAAATAAGTTACTTGATGCTCGCCATTGAAGCGCACCGCCTCCTCATTTCGTCTGCTGAGCTGAGAGTGGAAGCGATTCATAACAGCTGAGGGGAAAAAAAAGGCTGCTGAGAGATTCTGGCTCCACGCCAATCTAAAAATATGCAGTTTTGACAGGAACTGCCAGACAAGAGACCAAGGCAGACCTGAGCTGCATTGTTATCTCAGACTACCACAGCCTTGTTGTGCGCACTGTATCTGGGAGTAAGACTCCAGCAGGTAATGACATTTGGAATGGCCTCTGCTAAATCCAATTCAAAAAGCAAAAAAAAATGTTTTTAAATAAAGCTTGATACAATAAGAATAAAAAAGACACGTTCAAATCAATAGGGGTAAAGGAATCATGGCATTATATGCTGGTAAACAAGCTATTTAAATGCTCATATAGAACAATTTTAAGCATTTTATATAACCAAATAAAAAAGGATTTGCCATCATTGAAGGTAAAAGAACAAATGCCTTTTAACAGATGCAGTGACATCTTGAGTTCTCTCTGCATTTTCACAGCTCTAAATCCTCCTCCTCAAAGAACGTGTTTCTGCTAATTCTGAGGTTTAAATCCCGTACCATCTCTAATATCCACATATGAAAGATTACGCCATGCTGACAGAGTAATATGTCTGTGTAAACGCTAATGTTTGCACGACATTTGTTTTGCTACGCTCTGAACTCTGATCGTGACCTAAAGTCTCTGCTCTAATCATTTTCTGTTCTGAGTTCTCAAATTCAAACTGATCTGTTACAGGTCTTACAAGGAAAAAAAGTGCTTAATCAGCAAAAAAAATGTTTTTTTGTACTACTGCTGCCTCTGCTGTGGTCCTTTTGTAAAAATTAAAGGTTTGTGGGATTTACTGGTCTGATCTAATTGGCTTTGTCCCTTGAACTTGGAAGGCCCGAAGTACGGCCGGTGGGGGGGAATGTGAGAGGACCCCGTCACTCACGGACTGCGAATCCTTGCTGTTGTCTCGAGAGCGGTTCTTGGCCAGCCGTTTTTTCTTCTTGTGGAGGGGACGCGACTCCAGGATCATCTCCTCCAGTTCAAAGGTGGGATCGCAGTGGAGGCGACCTTTCTGTGGGGAGGGAGATGCGGGTGGGGATCATTAGAGAGACGAGCACGTCCATATAGCTCGTGAAAAAATAAGGGTGGGGGGTGGGGAATGTACACAGCACACTGAAACCAGTGAAAAGCGCACACACTGACACACTCATAGGAGTTTACAGTAAATGCATGTGGGAAAGAGCTGCTGCATTCAAGTTCCCCTGTGAATTATTTAGTTGCAGCACGTGTTCATTCTGATCAACGACTGGGAAGCAGGGGCTCGGGTAAACTTTGAAATATTCGTTGTGCGGCGATGTCGGATGGCTTTACATTGGGAACGAATCCGGCCTCCATCTTCTTCTCGTACACGGCGTCCCAGTTTATGTCGGCGAGGTACGGGGCCGTCTGCATGTCGGCCAGGCTGGAGAAGCGGTGCTCCGGGTTCACCGTCAGCAGCTGGAGGACGAAAAAAGACACGCAAACCCACACGCCAACGTCACCAACACGGCTTCCTGATGTGCAATATCGCCTTCACCACTTCCAGTCCTCACTCACACCCATGTCCCTCTCTCTGGGAGGGGGTAAATGTCCATGTGGCTAATCTACAGTCAGCGGTTTGAAAGGAAAAACCACAAGAAGAGAAGGGGGGAAAAAAAGAAAGAAAAGAAAGAAACAAAGCTGTGTAGCTCTATGTGTGTGGCTGGGTTCTGATGAGGTAAAAAGAATGTTCTATGCGATTGGAAACCGTCCTGGCTGAAAACCAAGATTTGACTGTTTCATTCTTATAAGTGATAACTCAGAAAAACAACAACAAACATTTTTTTTATCTTCAATTATAAAGAATCTACATACAGATATATGTTTCATATATGTCACAGCCCTATTTGAAAGTTTTGGTTGTTCCATGTTGATTCCCTTTTGGCAGTCCTCTCTATGCATTTGCCTTTCTCTTATTTTATGTGATCTCATTTATCATGAATCAACAAAGCCAAATGACAAATAAAAAGCTGCCCTCATTCTCACAATTGTTTTATATTGTGAAATATCTCGTCTTAATTGAAAAGCAGCTAATTAGGACTATATGTTAGGACTATATCACAGCTACTAACCCCAACATTTCAATCAGAGTTTTTTTTAACGGCATTCAAACAATAAGAAAAAAACATGTACATTTAAGCAAGCCTGGCTGACTAACTTATCCTTCTAACTAGAGTGATTCAGTTGTAAGTTTGGACCTTTGTTGAAGAGCTAATGTTAGCAATGTTAGTTCTGTTTTGATGGGGGTCTGTTTGCCTAGCATAGCCGTTACACCGAAAAACAACAACACACATTTCAAGCACAAGTCTCTTCTTTTAAAACCGGCTCTCCTCAGTTTTTGGCTTGTAACTCATGCCACTTTAAAAACTGACCAGCAAATCAACTTCAACTCAACTTCAACAAATCAACTCAGCGTCTTGGCTAACTGGTTCCATGCAAATAGCATGAATATATTGACACTCTGTGAAAACTCAGGTTCATCAAGCATTCAGAGATTTAGCAGCGAAGGTCCTGGAAAAACGTATGTAACTTAAACACAACATGTCTTTTAAAAAATTTTTTTTTTACTGTGCCTATGCTAACTGACAGATGCTGAACGGCTAGATATGATGCAGATCTTGTGTTTATTCAAATGGATGCTGACTTAAAGGTTATAACGCATTCACAACACTAATATAAAATCGAATAAAGACTATATAGCAATATAGTTACATTCAAAAACTGATGGAAGAATGTGTTGCTAACTGCCTTTGGACTTCATGAAGAGTAGTGATGGGCAAATACATTTTTATTCAGAGTACCCAATAGAGGGCACTATTAATCAAATTACTGGCTGATCAGTTTTTCATAAAAGATAATGCATCAACACAGACAAATAAACACCACGTGAGTGGAAATACTTATTCCTGAGAAGAAAGACGTTTTTTTTTAATCAAATCTGATTCATATTTCAACAAAGGGTGAAAATGGAAAATGACAACGTGTTGGGGCTCCGGCTGATATAATAGCACTTGCACTTGTATTTCTTCCTTTGATCAAAATAATGATTCAGTTTCCTCCTGAAAGTCCCTGTAATCAATCAGCGGTAGAGGGGAAGAGACAATCTCACCATTTTGAAGGTTCAGTAAATCACACACTGAGCGCATTCTCACGCTTGAACAAACACTCAACAAGAAAATATAGAAATAAAACAAATTCCCCCAGAAAAGCCATGGCTTTCATGTTAACTTGAATATCCCATCTTCAGACGATCACAAATTAGTTTCATTTGGGGGCTATCATGTTGACACAGACAAATAAGGTTGACTGCAGAGATTGAAGGAGCCTGAAGGAAAATGCTGAGCTCAATATCATTTTCTATTTGATAGAAAGGAGAAGTTCTCACCACGCGGACACATTTTCATTTGTTGAAGTGTAACATTTTAAGTATGTTGTTATGAAGAATATCAGACCACAAATTTAAAGATAGGCCCCCCTCTTGGTCTCTCCTCCCTCCCACTTGCATCATGCCTTTACTTCCATTCCTCTGATTCCCATCTGTCGTTTGCTATTTCTCTTCTTCAGCCTGAGGGTCTCGGCTCATCCTCCCTCCGATGAGCACAAATTCCCCCTCAGAACAAGCCTCATCTCCTGTGACTTTCTATGACTATCTCAATATGTGCTCCGATTTCACCTCTATGTCTCCATCCTTCTGTCCTGCGCGCCGTTCCAATCCATGTTTAGATTTAGTTTTATATATACGCCTAGATTTAGTTTTGGGTATAGCCTTAAGAAATTGCTGCGTTACTGAAGTCAGACATGCTGCACGGGCTCGTAAAACCTCGTAAAAATGGCCGATATCTCGATAAGAAATAACCACTCACCTTCCTCAAAAGGGACACCAGATCCTTGGGCCAGGCCGGGCTGTACTGGACACTGACTGTACTGAACAGCTGGATCAGGGATTCCACAGAGTTGCTGGCGTGGATGTCATAGGGCCTCTAGTATAGAAAAAGTTGGAAAACGGGACGTTGAGAAGGAGATGGAGATGGTTCTTTGAAATATAAGCAGACCAGCCGTTTATGCTTACCCATCCACGCAGCACTTCGAAGGCTGTCACCCCTAATGACCACCAGTCCACTTCAAAGGCGTAGCCGGTACCTCCACTTACAAAGGACTGGAAGATCTCCGGGGCTGAAAGCACAGCAGACAAACCGCTCACGCCTGGAGCAGAGACACGTCTTTCCAAACAAGTTCCTTTGCAAAAATGTCAACCAAAACACTTTTTTTCTATTTTACCCTCAGCTCTGACAAGACAAGATAGGACTTCCTAAAGTTCTAACAAAGTGATTCCAAATATGGCGTTATCAGTATTAGAGTCTATAAATGTCCATAAGAGCAGGCTAGGCTTTTCTACTTGCCTGATTCAAATATATTCCTGAACTTTTAAGCTGTTATCTGGTAATAACTCAACCAAATGTAAAGTTACCCATGTAGGGCTTGGTTCCGGCCAGTGCTGTGGCTCTCTCTCCGTCCTTTATTATCGTTGCTATGTTGAAGTCGGTTAGGTGAGCGTGACCTAAAAAACAACAACAAAAAAATAAGGACACAAATCTGTTTAAAAAACTTGGAGGCAATTTCCTCTGGTCAGTCGAAGACATTTAAAAGATGTAACTGGGAAATTGAATAAACGTGACATTTCAGAGCACTGGATCGACGCGGCTCTGTTATTTTGGGTCTCGGTCAGAGGTCTGCCTTCTCTGACCGTTGTGACTCAGTAGAAGGCTACCTATTTGCTGGTCAAACATACTCTAATCTTACTGCTGTTTACTATGTATTCAGGGAGAAAATCCCACTTTCCTTGGATGGACAGTATATCAGAGGTTAAAACTATATTAGGTAAAGGGAAAAAAACAGTTTACTTATGTAAAGAAAATCTCATTGTTTAAAATTAGGTTATCTAATGCAGCATCAGCCATATCACACACACACACAAACACACGCGCACACACACACACACACACAAACACACGCACACACACACACACAC